TTGCAATCTATAACAGCTCCGAATCGACTCAACCAATCCATGTCCACAATAACACAAACATCTCCCATCGCAATCGGTACTAGATCTATCGGTAACTCAACACCGAAGATCTCGAGCATACATCCTCGAATCACCTCAGTAGCATATACTACTCGTTCGTCAGCTATGGAGACTCGAAGAGGTCGACTCAAAGCCTCTCAACAGATACTGATGTGCTGACTAAATGCAAAAGAGACGAAAGATCGACTCGCACCCGAGTCAAATAACACCAAAGCAGGTATAGAACTCACAAAGAAAGTACCTACGCATACCATAATATAAGCACAATATCTCAAACTCGAAATAAATAGATGAAAGGATACATACTAGCCACGACGTCGGCCGCTGCGCGGACCTCCTCCACTATCAACTGGAAGGCTCTCCCGCGAGCCTTCGGTGCCTCGGCCTTCACTGGTCGAATCTCGGTAGCTCGTACGGCAACAGGGGAAAATCCCTGCGGTGCTCCCTACGCCGGCCCCCACAGCTGTGGACACTCGAACTTTCGATGGCCAGTTTGGTTGCAGTGGAAACACACTGCAAATCCCTTGGGGCAACCCTTAGCTGTATGCCCCTCCTTTCCACACTTGTAGCAAGACCCTGCTCGACAAATCCCCTCCTGGCTCTTGCCGCACTTGCCACAAGTGCGGCCCTTCTGGTTTCCTGATCTCGAATCGCTGGGTGTTTCCCGCTTGGCTGCCAACTAGGACTATACCGGTCGCCAATCCCTCCCCTAAGACTCCGCCTCCTCCCTGGCCTGAGTCTCGAGCTCAATCTCCCTCTTCCGAGCATTTGCCTGCAGCTCAACAAATGTCCAGTATGTCGAGTTCGCCACGAACTCACGAATGTCTCTCCTCAGAATACTCAGATATCGACTCATGCATGCCTGCTCAGTAGACACATGTTCAAGGCAAAACATCGCACTCTCGTGAAACATCCTGGTAATCATAGTAACAGACTTTATTCCCTACTTGAGGGACAAGAACTCTTGGGCCAACCGTTCCCTTTCCACCGGAGGAACGTACTCATCACGAAACATGGCAATGAACCTCTCCCAGGTCACCGCGGTAAGCTCTACAGGAGTGAAATGCGTTGTCACGAATTTCCACCAATCCTTCGCTCCCAAGCGAAGCTAGTTCAGTGCGAACCGTACCCACAGATGCTCCGTACATGAACATGTGTAGAAGCATCCCTCAATATCATAAATCCACATCATCGTGGCTATCGGATCCTGCGTCCCATCAAACCCTGGTGGCTTCGTGTCGCTGAACTCTCGGTGCAGCAACGAGTCGCCTCCTTTTGGCCTAGCAACAGCGACGACTGCTGTGGCCGCAGCAACAGCAGCATCAGTAAGAGCAATGTACTGCTCATCAAAAGTCTCGATCAATGTGGTATTGATAGACCTAAACATCTCCGGTATCTAAGATCGTATGGCCGCATCCACCTCCTAATGAATCATCTTGCAGATCTCCTCATCGCTGACACTGCTGCTCTCTGGAGTGTGGCGCGTACTCACCATGATGTCTTTGAAATACAACATAAAAATATCAGAGGCTCACTCGAGTGTACTTGCACTCGATAACTCAACCCTACTTGCTCCCTAGTACCCTAAGGATTCTTACTTGGACTGCGCACTGATCCGATGTATTCAGTAGTATGGGCCCTATAGTACCGTCTACACCGCATCGGTATTCACCCCAAGTCCTCCTCTTAGGATCCCAGATCACAAGTACTATAATCTTGCTATGCATAGGCTACTCTCCAGCAGACCTCTCATAAGCTCCTCGCTGCTACCAACTCACTCTCAAGCATCTCATAGTAGCGGTAATCTCCTAGGCTAAGGCGTCACAAATCAGGCCACTCTAGTCCTCATATGAATACATAGCCAATTGTAGCATGCATAACATATCATATCGTATCTTATATTACATAATGTAAGGGCATTTTGGGAAATCACCGTTTGGGCGTTGGCTGATCGTACACATTGCTCTGTTCTGCTTGTTTCAAAACATTTTACTCTTTTAGAAAAATTTGCTTTATTGTGAAAAATTCCTCAAATCCTCAGTTTAAAGTTCAGATACGCCCGAAGGTGCATCCGAATCCCTCAAACCAAGGCTCTGATACCAACTTGTAACAACGTAATTTTTCAAAACAATTTTTCATTTTTCAACACAATAAAAATCATATAATATTCTCAAATCTAATGTTATCAAATGTAATCACAATAAACATATCCCAGAATCTCAAAAAAAAAAAAATCTTCTGCTAGTATGTACAAATCATGCCGGCGCCTTCCCACGATCCTCGCTAGTACCTGAAACACATAACACATAACACATAACACAGTAAGCATAAATGCTTAGTGAGTTCCCCAAAATACCACATACAACACATATTAGCCACTCGAGGCTATAACGTTTGTATGAACCTCTGGTCAATATGTCTCAGTGGGACCCTCCAGTCCCATAACTCTATGGACCCTCTGGTCCTAACTCTATGGACCTTCCGGTCCTAACTTTGTGAACTTTGAATCATACATAACAAAAATCACATAGAAATCACATCATGAAAAAGCATACAAGATACTCTGTCACAAAACTCTAATTATCACTCTACGTAAAGTATAGTGAGAAGACTCACATCGGGTATCTCGGATAATCTCGCACACGAATATACTGATCTATCCCCCGCCTAATCACATAACAATATCCTCAAATAAATAATGGCTCTCAAATGCTAGATTAAATCCTTTCCTACAATCCCACCATAGGGTAAAATACCATTTTACCCCTCTTTGACCCAAAAGTCTAAATGTTGACTAAAACCCTAAAAGTCAACAAAAGTCAACAGTGGGCAGTACGCGGGGCGTACCAACTCGTGTACGCGGGGCGTACTCTGGCAATCCAGAATCGGGGTCTCAGACCCTCACGTTGCGCGTACTAAGATTTACGCCCAACGTAAGTCTCAGTTTCATGCATTTATGGATTTTGGTCTTAAACGGTTAAGACATACACTCAAACTTCAGATCTGACTTCTCTAAGGTCACTTAATCCATAAAGTTGAAACCTTTAAGCCTTTGCATGGATGAAAAGGTTATAACTCCTTCCAACTTCTTATCCCCTTTTCTCATTAAGACCATAACTCATGCATGACTCCATAATGATGACCAAGATTGGATTTTTATGGATCTAAAACACATATAACACTGAAATGGGACAGATCTAGGTCCATGGAGTCCCTTTGCTCATAAAGTCTCCACCTTTGGGACTTAAACATTAAAATGGCCCATAATACACAAATACAAAATGAAGAGGAAAGTTCTGAGCTTTTTACCTCCAAATGATATTTCCCCCTCTGAAAAGCTCAGATCCAAAGGTTGCACTCCAAGACTAGCTTCCACAAAGGTCCTCTCTTCTTCTTCACAAACACACAAAGGAACTTCAAGCTCAAAAACACACACACACACACAAGCTTAGAACGAAGGTTGGCTCTCTTTTAGGGTTTCACTCTCTCAAATGGTGGCTGAGGATAAGGCCATAGCTTTATTTATATAGGGCTCAAGTCTCATTTAGGGTTTTGAGTCTTGACCCGCTATGCCCAAAGTAGCCTAAGGTACGCCCAACATACCGGGTGGAGTCTGCGTCCAAAACACGCCCATGAATACGCGCAACGTACTCTTCAATACGCCCAGCGTACTCATTTTCCATAATCTTCTTTTAAGGGCTAAACTTGACAACTTAGAAATGAGAAAGGGTTAGATAGATATACCTGAATTTCTGGATGTTACATCAAGGCTCAATAGTCACGTAAAGCTTTGATCTTTACGTTCATGCGTGATGTTATTGCTCCAAAATGCTAGTACATACCCTTCATGTATGATTAAGCCCAAAAACCCTCATATGGGTGAATAAAGTTGGGACACTTAGACTCTAAGGACCTCACAAGGTCCAGATCTGAGGTCCAAACTCCTTGATAACTCATGCTATTCAAAGCCCAAACAAAAGATGGCAAAAAGGCCTAAAACTCCATGGATATGAGATCTATCCAAAATAAGAAGAAGGGTGAAGACTTTTTACCTTCCCCAGGAGCTCTGGATAAGGAATCACTAGATCCAACAACCTAACTTCCAGCTCCTTGCTTGATAACCTCCTCCTCTTCCTCAAATGATGCACAAGAACCACCATATGAGCTTCTCTCTCACTCTCTAGCTCCAAAAGCAATTAGGGTTTGCTCTCAGGGGTGTATGGTAACTGATGAGGTGGAATTGGGGGTATAAGTTCCCTTATATAGGCCCCAACCCTAGAAAATTAGGGTTTCTCAGCCTAGCACTTACTCGGCAAGTCAGTTTCCCGACTCGTTGAGTTCACTCATTAATTCCACGTGAATATCTCAACTCGACTCGACGAGTTGGACCCTCAACTCGTCGAGTCTCTCCACAAATTACCAAATTACAATACACAATAATATATCTGAAAATCCGGATGTTATAGATAATTAACATAAAATAGTTATTGGCAACACATGGGGATATTTAACAAGCTTAACAAAACAAAATTCGCCAAATTAAATAATCCAAGCCATAAAATTCAAACCATAGTTATAAGTTTGTCTACCATAAACAGAAGCAACAAGTTTTTAGCTCATATTCATAGCAGAAAACATCTCACAAACTAAACCTAATGATTCAAACATGATGTAAACACTAGATTAAGAAAAGAGAATATATTTATGCCTTTCGATCTCCTCAAAATTGAATGCTAAGGTTTATCCTCGAGTTCCAGAGCTCTAGCAACACTCTTAATCGCAATTCAGTCTCCAAGGGTTCCAGAAAGAGTCATTGCCTCGTGAGTTTATGCCCTTTATATAGTTTTCTGAAAACAGGGGCAACTCGTCGAGTCCATAGACTGACTTGCCGAGTCCCTCACTTAAAATCTGTGCGTGGTAAGGCACCCAATGGTTCACGAATGTTCGTGCCTACTCGTCGAGTAGGTGTCCAACTCGCCAAGTTCTTCCGGTTTTTTGACTCTACTTCTTCTTTCTTCAATTCACGAGCTTCCGATCGCATTTCCCGTTTCCTTTTGCTTCCGAGCCCGTCTTTTAGGCTAAAAATATAATTTAAACATAATTAAGTACCTTTTGTTCATTAATTGAAATAAAATAGCCAAAAAGTATTAAGATTCTCCACAAAATATATAACTAAATATGCAAATATCAACTCACTCACAAAAGTATGTCAAATGTAGATACCAATATACGAAAATTGATACTTGTGTTGTTATCTTGAATCTGGAATGTCTTATCTTTATCTCATATTTGAATTCTTTTCTCTAGTATCTTCGTATAAACACACATGTTATATTGCCTTAAATAGACAGGACTTCCAAATGTTAAGTTGGTCATGCTTCAAGTAGCTCAAGCTATCATCTGCTACTACACCTGTCTTTGTTAGCCAATGTTGATGAAGTCCTTAATGCACAACTTAGTCAGCTCATGCTAACAACTAATGTCACCTTACTAACATCGTATTGAACATCATCAAGTCACATTGTTCAATCTTAACATCAAAGAACTAAATGTCATATTACATCAAAACATATTACTAATATCCAACAAATCAATCAAATAGGCAATTGAAAAACCAAATTTAACAGTCAGTGGAAATACTTGAGAAGTAGTGAAAAACATAGTCTCTCCACCACCTATTAGAGAACAAGTTGTCATATAAATTTAAGTAATTATAATGCACCGATATAGCACGTGTCTTTAGCATTTTATCCTAAACACCAATATGCCTAAAATATATTTTGCCTTGAGTGTTGCGTTGCTAATTCTCTAGTTGATTGCATATGAAGAAGGAAATCATGGTCTTTGAAGATTTTTAGTAATCGTCATTATGAGCATCTTGCAAGTCATAAATAGTTAATCGTATGATGCCTACAAATATATTACTCCCCATAAGTTGCATGTTTATCTTCTTATGCGTCAATAAGAATTAACTAGACTTTTTTGGATTCCTCGTTATGCTGTTCTTTTTTCATTTAGGGGTCTTTTTAATGTACTTGTTTTCTTTCCTAAAATCACTAAAACTAAAAGATGGTACAATACAAACGAATTTAGAATCTCATAATGTATAATGATTTAGATGAACAACTTGTTAATGAAGATAACTTCATGGTTGTTGATTATTTATATAGATTAAAGTTTATGAGTTTTAAATAACTTACTTGAAAGTTGAGTCTATTGGTGATATCCAAAGTGTCACTATCTTCATCGATGAGTATTTCCATTTACATGTTTTTTGAGAAACGAAAATTAAAAACTAGTTCCCTTGTCAACATAAATTGTAACAATTAAACCTTAATCGTGAATTCATAGTAATATGATACAAGTTAGATAAGAACCTCGCTTGCGAAATTATTATCGCAAATGTTAATCGAATTCACTTTATTCGAAAATGAGTTGCAAATAAGTTATTTTTATAGAAAAACGATACACACTTTAAACTACTACTAAATTCAACATATGTTCGGATTAGAATTTTAACCATCGTCCTCACACACACAAAAAAAAAAAAAAAAAAAAAAAAAAAAAAAAAGATCTCAACATACAACATTAAAGATATTTTAATTATATTTGTTTGGTGTAAAAGAAAATTCACATGGATATATTTGGATATCAATTTGTATTTCATTGAATAACGGAAAATACTATTAAGGTATAATTTAAAATATTCTCGGCAAAATATTAAATTAGAAGCCAATGGCAATGGCAGTTTCCGAGCAACAACCATCTTCCTCAGCCCTTCTATAAACAATTCAAAGCTCTCAAGATCTTATAAACTCACCCACCCACCCCACATTTCCATTTCTCTCTCGCCCCTAAAATCAACTCAGAGCTCAAATCCACCTCCGTCACCGCCACCGCCGTCCCTTCAATCACTACATGCGATGGGTTTTGTGCCGGTGACCCTCAGAACCGCCGTCGTCTTCCTATGCTTCTTCTCCGCCGTCGCCAAATTCAAAACCTTAAACCGAACCTATCCTTACTTCAACAATTCCATGACCACAGAAGCCAAAGCCGAGTTAATATTACAAAACCATGCGGTGCTAAACCAAGATGCTCTGCAGGTTACTCCGGACTCCGCCAATCCGCTGGTATTTGGACTTCAGAACCAGTCCGGTAGAGTGATGTTCCATCAACGGTTCAAGCTATGGGACGGCGACGTTAACAGCAACTCCGCCGTCGCCTCCTTCAACACCTCCTTCCTCGTCAATATGTTCCCAAACAACGGCACACCCGGAGAAGGCTTAGCCTTCCTGATCGCACCCACCATCGACATCCCGCAGAACAGCTACGGCCAATATCTCGGCCTCACCAACGCCACCACCGATAACCAAACAAGCAACGGAATCGTCGCCGTCGAGCTCGACACGGTCCAACAAAATTTCGACATCGATAAGAACCACAAGGTCTCAACATACACTCGATCAGATCTGTAGTCTCCGAATCATTAACACCGAAAAACATCACTCTGGTTACCGGCCCAATTCCGTCGTTCGAGAACATCTGGGTTCAGTACAATGGCGACGAGAAGATCATCCGGATTTACATCGCCAAGCAAGAAGGAAAGGATGATCCGACTCCGCCCATGCCGGAAAACCCCATCATTGAACGAAAACTAGATCTCCGGACAACAGTTAACCAGCACTCCTACTTTGGTTTCGCCGCTTCCACCGGAACCCTAATCCAGCTAAACTGCGTTCGTCGATGGAACTTAACAGTGACCTACATACCTGAACCGAAGGGCCCATTGATGACAATCTTTTACTCAGCGTTGGGATTCCGGTGGTGGTGGGGTTGGTGGCGTTGGCGGCGTATATCGGTTACTATCTATACAAGAAAAGGTTGGTAGACCGGTCGCAATCAAACATTCTGAGCCGGCTGAGAACACTGCCGGGAATGCCGAAGGAGTTCCATTTCCGGGAACTGAAAAAAGCGACGAATAATTTCGATGAAAAGAGGAAACTTGGTCAAGGTGGATATGGGGTGGTTTACAAGGGGGTGTTGCCGGAGGATAATGTGGAAGTCGCCGTGAAATGGTTTTCAAGGGAAAGTTTGAAGGGAGAAGATGATTTCTTGGCTGAACTCACCATCATCAACCGTCTCCGGCATCGTCATCTTGTTCGATTATTGGGTAAATCTTTTTCCCATTTTCTTTTTGTTACTTTCAATTATTGGGAGTATATTTTTTTAATAAAATTAAAATTGGTAATAGTTTTACATTTCGAATATGGTTCTAGAAAGAGAATATTTGGTTTTCTGAGAAAAGATTATGGGAGTTATAAAAGGAAAAAAGAATATTATTTTTGTTTATGTTTTCACTAAGCAATAAAATATTTGCAATAAAGACTTGTAATTAATGGATTATGAGTTGTAAATTGTGACAAAAAGCACTAGCTTTTGAATGATAAGGATTAGGTCACTTTTTCAAAATGGGCACGACAAAAGCAGGCTGGTAGATAAATAAATTAGCTGTAATTTTGGACATACTAAAATTGAGCTGTTTACCTTTTGTTTTTAATTTTATTTATTTTTTAAATATTTAATCATTTAACATCTTTCGACTAGTGGGTTTTTGGACCTACTTTATCTCCTCAATCCTCTTCATGCTTATTATATTTTATTTTTCTTAAATTTGTCTTCATAAAAATTATTTTATGTGAATTAACAAACTTTTATTAAACTATAGTCGACATGCCTATTAGATTCATATATAAAATTGAAATTTTAAGATTAGAAACGAATACCCAACTGTTTTTCAACAAACGTATTTTTCTTACAAAATCCTAATTATTTATTGCAAAAATCTAGCGTCAATTCCATGTATACTTATCAATCAAAAAAACCTTGACGTTGACCTTGCAAACTAAAATATAAATCCATACGAGACACCGTGTTATGATAAAGTCATCACATAGTTGTATTACTTGTTAAATCCTTTAAGTGGATAAAATTTGACAAAATCAATAAACGCTAAGTCGTTGAATTGGAAAATTCATATACATTAAACTTGTAATAGCTTCATTCAAGTCGTTGAATTTCACCAATTATCGTATTTGACTTTTATAGTGGTTTTTAAAAATTGGAATAACTTCATTCTCAAGTATGGCCTACAAACACTGTTTTTATTGAAGGAGACAATTCTGTGCATTTTCATTTTTCAATCACCGCCTGCCAACTTATCATATTCCATTTGTATATCTTCCCCACTATAGCCATCTTTTATTGATCTCATATAATTAAATGCCAAAGTTTGATTATATATTTAATACACGTGACATATTCATTTCTTTATGTATTATATTAAGCGTCTTTAAAAGTTTGTATATCTAACAATATCTAAATGATATGTTTCAGGATGGTGTCACAAGAACGGGAAGCTTCTATTGGTTTACGAGTACATGCGAAAAGGCAGTCTTGACATGCATCTGTTTACAGGAACCGGTGAGCCTTTAAGTTGGGCCCTCCGATACAAAGTCATAGTCGGCGTCGCCTCTGCCCTCCACTACCTCCACTATGAATACGACCAAAAAGTCGTCCACCGTGACATCAAAGCTAGCAACATCATGCTCGATTCCAATTTCAACGCCCGTCTTGGAGATTTCGGCCTCGCGCGTGCCCTCGATAACGAAAAAACCTCGTACGCGGAAGCAGAAGGCGTACTGGGAACCGTCGGTTACATCGCCCCCGAATGTTTCCACACCGGAAAAGCCACTCAACATTCCGATATTTACGCTTTTGGCGCTCTACTAATCGAGGTTGTATCCGGTCAACGCCCGGGGACAAAAATCAACGGGTTCCAGTTCATGGTGGATTATGTATGGTCGTTGTATCGTGAAGGGCGAATCTTGGAAGCGGTTGATAAGCGTATTGTGGATGATTATAACACCGAGGAGGCGAACAGACTATTGTTGTTAGGGTTAGCTTGTTCGCATCCGATAGCGGGCGAGAGGCCGAAAACACAAGCCATTGTCCAGATGATATCGGGGGCACTGCCTGTGCCCCCGGTACCACCTTTCAAGCCAGCTTTTGTGTGGCCTGCGATGATGTCCATCGACGATATGTCGATGGCCACATCGATCGATACGACACCGTTATCGATCAGTCAGTATGAGACTGACTGGAGCCCACTAAGCCGGGAAAATTACTCGGGGTATACGGACCGATCCATGGTTTAGTTTCTTTTGGTATGGCTATAACCTTTGGGGGTGAATTCTTTATCTTGTGATTTTATTTGTGAGGCAGGAGAAAATTCTTCTGGTTGTTATAATATTGGGATCTTGTGTTTTGTAGTTAACACTATATTTCTTTGTTGATAGGATACGGAACAAGAAATGCTCGTGTATAAATTTTATGGGCTTTGTCTTTTTTCTTTGTAAAACAAGTTTACTCTTTTTTGTTTCTTCTTTCATTCATTTATATTTGTTTGTACCTTCCTGAAGAATATTTTAGTTAACAATGAAATAGTCAAGTAGATACTTAATTCTTGTGCGCATGTAATAATAATTTAACAAACCGATAAATTTTCGGTAGTTAGTTGGTAAATAATGATATATGTGCATGATTAAATCATATTTTATGAATCTATGTTATTTAGGTGAGTAACAAGTAGATTTCAAATCTTGAAATGGAATCTTAAAATCCTTAGGTATCCATGGTCAAACTTTCAGATTGTGCCCAACAAACAAAGCATGTTGCTCTTTGCGGAATGGACCCTACAAAAGCCTTCACTAGATGATATGCATCAATAATTACAAGTCAAATTTGTCTAGTTACATTACATCAACACTTTTTGCAGGAATTGAACTTTTTGGCAATCCCGTGTCTTATTAAAGTGCTAATGTACCCCCTCTTTAATTCTTGGTGCATACGTACTTCAAGATAGCCTAGGAAAAGTAATCGAACATTCTAACCTAGTGTTACATAATGTTAGATTATTTTTATTTTGCACCTCTTTACACTTGCTAAAGGTCTTATATATGGACCAGACCAAATATTCTGTGTAGAGATATAACCGGTGATATCTACCTTTTCGTCTATTTCAATTAAAATTTGAGGTGCAACATATATTAATGAAAACATGCAAGAAATAGAAGGTGCAAAATACATTAATGAAAACCTGTAAGAAATGGAAGGTGCAACATCAAAATGCAAAATGAAATGAAATATGTGTCAAATTGTTAATAGTGTTTTATAGTTAACAAAAAATTATGTGTTAAACTGTTAAACTTGCAAGAAATAGATGGTTTGATTTGGTTTTTTTTCCCTAAAAAAACTGCTTGTTAGCAAACAAGAGGAATCGGCCAATTTGCAAAAAAAAAAAAAAAAAAAAAAAAAAAAAAAAAAAAAAAATTAGACATTTATAAAACTGGTTTTAATAAATACTAGATTATGACCCGCGTTAAACGCAGGGAACAAATAAATAATATATATATATATATATATATTTTGCAGAATAATTATAAGAAAAATCAGGGTTATTGGTATTATTGAAATATGTAAAAAATATACTGAAGTTGGTAAATATATATAGTAATTGAAGGACCTCTTCGTAGACAGTATTTTTTGTTTTATTAGTTGAATGACCTTATTCATCACAAAGTACATTTAAACCTTTTTAACTTTTTTTTTTGGAAAGGGAACTTCCCTAACGAGGGTTTCCGGGCCAGCTTTCGCGCACCGACTAATCCCCCGCTGCAAACATAAAGCTTTGCTTCATGCCCTGAAGTCACTGCAGACGAACCTCCATGGCCACAAGGGCTGAGTGGTGTCAGGATTTGAACATGGGTCAATTGGTTATCCACCATATCTTCCACATGTCTTACCAAGTCACCACAACCCAAGTGGTTAACCTTTTTAACTTGTGACATGGGAAATAGCTACATATAGCTAACCATGGGCGAAAACGGGTCAATGCATATGTAGTCCAACATTTGACAATATACTTTCAAAGTACATTGTTATTTCATGATTATATTGCAAAATAGAATTGTTTATTTCAAAAAATAGCAACTTATTTATGTTTATTCTAAATGAACCACATTAACCCCCCACAATATTAAATATAAAGAAACTCTAACAAATAAATAAATAAGTAGTTATGTTTGTTCGATTTAGATATTGCCTGTGACTCATTGAAAATGTCAAAAGTACATAATTGGCACACAACTTGTTATTATGAGACGAACTAAACAATTTAAACACATAATGATGTCTTTTTATTTTATTTTATGATAATCATAAAACAATAGAAAAATGCATGCTTACTTCAAGACATTTGCGGACGTTTGAGTAAGGCCTATGGTCTTAACTGCTGATTATTTATATCTTTTACATATAGCTATTAAATGGTTATTAAATATGAATTAAAAGTTCATTTTTATTTCTTGCCGATTTAGAAGTATATTTCGACCATTTTTGCATAAGATAAAAACCATATAGGTTCTTTTAGTATTACTGCAATCCTATTTTCATATAAAAAAAATTTTTCGCATTAGACCAAAGTTAGTGTTTTTTTAGCATTATTATCATCCTATATTATAAATTCTTGATAGTTTTGAAAAAGTTCGCTGCAATTTCTCATTTCTTTT